AGGTTTGTTAAGTGGTTTTAACATCTTATGAGTACAGTCTGTATTTAACATCTTATGTGTACAGTCTGTATTTAACGGTTTTGTACTTAACGGTTTTGTATTTGACGATGATGGTGAAGCATTCGACAATTCTGAATCAGTATTTAACAGTTGTCCTTTGTCGAAGAACCGAAGGTTTGTCTCAAGAACCGAAGGTTTGTCTGATACATTACGTAAATTTCTTCCCATTTATAATAATAATATTAATTCATTATTTTTTTGAAAGAAATATTTATCATTTTTTTTTTATCAATTCCCAAAAATCCATATGGTTCTGACCAAGCTTTTTTACAGAACTTACAAAACTCTTCATATGTTAATTCAGAAGCCAATTCTTCATGTATTTTTCTGAGATTATCTCCAAACTCATTAAAAATAAACCACAGATTTGAATTTTTTCTAATTATGGGGTTTATTTTAGTGTATTTATGATATAATCCAAGAATACTAATATTTTTATGCCTTCCTTCACAATAATATCTTATTATTTTACTTTGATCTTTCAGCATTCCATCATCGAAAATTACTAAACTATTTGATGCACATTCTTCTACCGGTAAAATTTTTTCCCAATTACCCTCAAATAGATAATCAATATCATATTTATCTTTTTCCAACTCTTTCTCTAATTCCACATAAGTAGGTTGGTCTATAGATGGACTATAAACATATAATTGCCTATATGGTAGCCATTTGTTTGCGACAAAGTTAGTAGATAAAAATGTTTTTCCACTACCCGATTCTCCTAAAATTATACCACGTACTACATCTGGAAAGAATCCGCCACCCCTTTTATATTTATCTATAAAAATAAAATGTTTCATTTTTAGATGATGTTTGGACATTTATTAATAATAAATGGAAAAGTATTTTAAAAAACGAATGAGTAATTAATTTATGCTCGTGCATTTTTATTTTCTTTATGCTTGCGCATTTTTATTTTATTTATGCTCACGCATTTATGTTTATCAAAAAAGTTATAAGTATTTTTTTTAATGTAAAATTGGTATATCACTTAAGTAAAGCAATATTGCGTCCTTCGGACTAAACATCCTACGGACTAAACGTCCTACGGACTAAACCTTTCAGGTATCTTTCAGGTGCTAGTCTTTCAGACGATTTGTGGCTTCAAGTATTATCAGGTATTGCTGTTACACCATTATTTGTAATAAGTGCCAGAAATACTTTCCACGTGAAAAGTACTTAAAACAAATGAAGCTAAAAGGATATTCTGTAATAAATGACCGTTAGCAAAAATGATATTATTGATGAATTACACAAACCAGCAAGGAGAAATTATCCAAGAAGATCTACTATTACATTAGGAATCGATGATCTTTGGCAGGCTGATCTTGTTGAAATGGATTCGGGTAACTTAAAGGGAATATCCAAAATTAATAACGGATATAAATATTTATTAACAATTATTGATACTTTTTCCAATTTTGCTTGGGCAATTCCTGTTAAAAATAAAACTGGAGAAAGCGTATCAGAGGCAATGAGTGTTTGTTTTAAAAACCTATCGAATTCTCCACATTCAAGAACCGAAGGTTTGTCTCAAGGTCGTCCTTCGGACTTAGCGTCCCTTAACTCACAGCATAAACCACCCAAAAATCTACAAACTGATAATGGGAAAGAATTTTATAATAAACTTTGGACTTAAACTTGACAAGCCCCAAAGGGACGCGTCTGAAAGACTAAGTCCGAAGGATGCGCCTAAAATACACTTGAAGATTCGCCCGAAAGGCTTAGTCCGTAGGACGCGATTCAAAGTTGGTGATTATGTAAGGATTAATAAATTAAAGCATATGTTTGAAAAAGGATATACGCCTAATTGGTCAACTGAAATATTTGTAATAGATAAAGTTTTTAAAAACATACCTCCATATTATCATATTAAAGATATGAAAGGTGAAGAGATTAAGGGAACTTTTTATGAACAAGAACTACAAAAAACTAAAATTCCAACTAACATCTATTTAGTTGAAAAAATATTAAAAAGAAAGGGAAATAAAGTTTATGTTAAATGGCTGGGCTTTGATAATACACATAATCAATGGATAAATAAGAAGGATTTAATCACTTCGTAAGCGTCCTTCGGGCTTAGCGTTCTTGGACTTGTATTATAATTGGTCTTGATTCAGAGTTTAACATTCTTGGAATTTAGGATTTCTGTCAATATTTGGAAGGTTTTTTTTTCCAATATTTTAGTTTCTTTCGATATTTTAGAAGTTCTTCTTTTTTGTTGCTTTTATGAATGATTTTGGTGTTTTTTTTAGCTGATTTTGGTGTAGGAAAAAATGTGGCCCAGAACATACCCTTTTGTATACTACTTACCCGTATCTTTCCATATAGTATCTTACGACTTTCCGATTCCGCAATCTGGTATATTAGGAAACGACTTCTTTAAGCAAACATCTTCAAAAATAGATTACGCGCAAGGACAAATGGATGTCTCCGGAATAAACATACCCTTTCTCTCTCCAGAAACCATTACAGTATCTCCAAGGTCGGAATCACTATTCTACGTAAGAATAGGAAACCCCGAAGTAAAAACGGGATATATACCAAGATTAAAATTAGAGCACGGAATTTATTTGGGACAACTAACTATTAGATAATCATGAATTGAATGACGAGACACGCAATAACCGCGAGAATTTTCCAAATTCACAAGGAAAACTCGTGAGCAGTAAAGTAAAGAGAGACAATCTTGAAAGCAATGATGACATTATTTTTGAAGAAATCCAAAATAAAAATAAAGATGGTCAACAACCTATTGTTATTGAAAAAATCAATCACGAAAACGAAGACGAAATGTTAAATCAAGAGGAAAATAAAAATGAGACTGTAAATATGATTGAAGACAAAATAAAGAATAAAAACGAGAAGAAAATTAAAACTAACTTAAATAAAAATTCAAATAATTATAAAACCCACGGAGCAAGAAGTTACCAAACTTCTCCAGAAGTAATTAATTCTCGAATTTCGGAGGGAAGTTTCTAAACCTCGACAGAAAATTCTAGCTCCGTCGATTGCGAGGAGGGAAATTACCAAACCTCATTACGCAATTCGACACAATCTAATCCTGAAGAAGGGAAAAATTTCTTAACCTCGCTGGATATTAAATTTCCAAGAATTGGATTATCATCGGAAAATAATAATAATAATAGAAAATCCTCTCATGTCATAATAAAAGACCTCCTTGAAAAGGCACAAAAATATAAATTAAATATTAAAGATTTAAGTATTAAAAATAATCAAAACCAAATATAAAAATAAACCGTCTTCGAAAATTTCAACTGCTTTATTGCATAAATCTCAGGAAATTATAGATAAATTTATACGAAAAAGAAAATCGAAGGAAAAGAAAATAGATATGTATAACTGTTTAATAATAGCCGAAGAAACAAAAGAAGATAGATTTACAAAAATCATAGATTTATTGCGACTAGAACACTTGAATCAAAAAGAACAAGAAAACGTAATAAAACTAATAACGAAAAGTCAAGATCGATTTCATATTCCCGGAGAAAAATTAACCGTGACTCATGTAATACAACATCAAATACCAACTACGGATGATCATCCAATTAATACTCGTCAATACAGATTTCCGCAAATATATAAAGAAGAAATAAATAGGCAGGTAGAGGAACTCTTAGAAGAGGATATAGTAAAACATTCGCAGTCACCATACAATACGCCTATATGGATTGTGCCAAAGAAAGAAGATTCGGATCTTGCCGATAGTCATACAACAGCTTTTACCACTCCATTCGGACATTACGAATTCGACCGAATGCCCTTCGGATTAAAAAACGCGCCTGCAACTTTTCAACGCTTAATGGATTTAGTACTAACGGGATTACAAGGCGAGGAGTTATTTGTTTACATGGATGACATTGTTATTTACGCGACTTCTTTAGAAGAACATGAACGAAAATATAACGCATTAATAGAGCGACTTCGTAAAGCTGATTTAAAATTACAACCTGATAAATGTGAATTTTTAAAAACCGAGGTAACATATCTAGGGCATGTAATCGGCAGAGACGGAGTGAAACCAGATCTGAAAAAATTAGAAGCAGTACGACATTTTCCAAGACCAAAAACACCGAAAAATATTAAACAGTTTTTAGGCCTTGCCGGATATTATCGACGATTCATACCAAATTTTTCTAAATTAGCAAAACCACTAACGAATTTATTAAAGAACAATACTTGTTTTGAGTGGACATCTGAACAAGAAGAATCATTCGAAATTTTAAAGCAGAAATTATGTGAAGAACCAGTACTGCAATATCCTGATTTTTCTAAATCATTCATTTTAACCACCGATGCTTCCGGAATAGCCGTAGGAGGAATACTTTCCTGCAATACCCTGATTTTTCTAAATCATTCATTTTAACCACCGATGCTTCCGGAATAGCCATAGGAGGAATACTTTCCCAAGGGGAAATAAACAAAGACCAACCGATCGCTTACGCCTCTAGAACCCTCACAGACAATGAACTGAAATACGACACATACAAAAAGGAAGCATTGGCCATAATTTATTGCGTCAAACATTTTCGACCGTATTTATATGGAAGAAGACTTACACTTGTCACGGATCATAAACCATTAATGTGGTTCAAAAACGCGCAAGATGCAAATATGCGAATACTCCGATGGAGATTAAAATTATCGGAGTACGATTACGATGTAGTATACATGGCCGGCAAAACTAATGTAAATGCAGACGCTCTATCGAGAAACCCTATAAATCTGGAAGAAATTGATTGTAAAATAATAAAAGATCGAAAATTGCTAAATCCAAACAACCCCGAAGATGCACAATTAATTGCCGAATTATTAGAAAAATCTGATAGCGAAGAAAAAGAAGAAGAAGACAACTTTCATTTATATCTTTCGGATAACGAAGAAACCGAAGAAATAACACCGGAAAATCATTTATTTGATAATACTACGGATACCCTTTTATTTACACCTGCAGAATTAAACGAACCAAATTATTTATCGACTACCGAACAGGCTTTAATACACGATCTTCCCAGACAAAACAGAATTCAAACAAGAAGTCAGACAATAAAACAAAATACTAAACAAAATAAAATATCCAATGAATTGCATAGTAATGAAGAAGAAATTGAGGAAATTGAAGATAGAAACGATCCGCCAGACAAAGATTCTGACAGTGACAAGAAAAATGAGGAAGAAGACGAGGAAAACATTATTAACCAGAATTTAAAAACAAAAAAAACAAAACCTATGATTATCGAAAATCGATTAATTAAAAGCAACATTATAGATTCCCGCAAACTTTTATTTTTACGAAAAGACAACGTGGCATATTTTGTCGATACACAAGGAAAACCATTAGATTCTGGCTCACAGTACAACAATGTTTGCAGTGCCAACTAAAAAAACTCGTTCGAGTCAAAACAAAACAGCCTATGATAATTACAGACACACCTGGATCATCTTTTGATAAAATAGCCATGGACATTGTAGGCCCATTGCCTAAAACAGAGAGAGGGAATGAATACATCTTAACATTACAAGATCAGTTAATTAAATTTTGCATGGGAATACCGTTACAAAATCAAACCTCTGAAACAATCGCAGAAGCCTTCGTGGATCGTTTTATTTGCGTGTTCGGATCACCAAAGGCAATATTAACAGATCAGGGAAGAAACTTCATTAGCGAATTAATGAGAAAACTCGCTAAAGTACTTAAAATTTGCAAATTTCGTACTACAGCTTTTCATCCTCAATCGAACGGATCATTAAAGAGATCACATCACGCATTAGGCGAATATTTGAAGCAATATGCAAATGAACAAAAACAGTGGGATAGATGGACCAGCCTCGCAATGTTTAATTATAACACTAGTGTCCATGAAGCAACAAAACATACACCGTACGAATTATTTTTCGGAAAAATAGCCAGAATTCCTTCAAACGAGCTTTTAGCTCCAGAAGATAAAATGGCAAATTACGATGAATATTTAATAAATCTCATAACACAACTTCATACTATTCAAGGGAATGCTCGTAAAAACATCGTAGAAGCAAAATGCAGGTCAAAAAGGCATTACGACAAAAAGATCAACCCTCAGACTTTCAAGCCTGGGGACCATGTGTTCCTATTAAAAGGGCCGAAACTAGGCAAATTCGGAGATCATTATACAGGGCCTCATGAAATATTGGAAATATTAAACAAAAACAATATAAAAATTAGAATAAAAAAAAATAGTTGAGTCGTACATCCTAATCGATTGCGAATCTCCCATATCAAAACAATTAATGAACAAATGACAACAAATAAAAATAAATAATTTTTTTCTGTGTGAAAAAAAGGGGGGAGAAAAAAAAGCCACATACACAAAAACAAAAAAAAAAAAAAAAAGTAGAATTTATATGCAACTATTACAAATCAACGAATTTGAATCAGTAAAAGTAATACAATGTAAAATCGAGATCAACCGTTTAATTAAAAAATGTGGGATGTTTTCTCATACCATGGATGTATTCAATGGGAAATATGCATATGTACAAGAAGTATCTCGTGAGGCATGTCAACGTATGCACACTTACGGCACTTTTTAATTATCTGACACTTATATAACTGGACTCAAACCCAATCAAACCACAACTCGACCCGTAATATTAGCCGGCCGTTTAGATAACGATGGAGTATGTTCTGGAAGCGTTTATTCTGATCCGTATGGAACATGGTTTTCAACCACTTCCCATGGTTCTCGGTTAGTTTCCAACCATTTGACACTTGCTTTCAACACTTCAGTTATAACTAAAAATAGAATAGATTTACTCTTTAACAGTATAGATCATATGATATAGTTAAAAAAATAAATATTGAAATGCTTACCGTCATAAGATGCTTCACTTTCGTGATCAGTAGAACTTGTAATGTCAGAAATATTTGTTTGAAGTATATGTTTATTTTGTCGTAACTTATTCCTATATTTGTCTACAAGTTTGCCTCGTATAGAAATCGATTTTTTATTTCTAGAGTCCTTTTTAGATATCGGTGCAACATAATATAAATTTATATCCTCCGATGGAAATATTTCTACTATACCTCGAGCCAAATGCAGAAAGTCGTGTTTATTGACCGAACTATTATAAAAAAAATTATTGTACTATATTATATTACATACTTATACTAACGTAAGACATAAAGCATTTAATTTACCCTCTAACAGTATTTAATAAATGTGATGTTAATAATTCAATAAGAATATGTCGGGAATGCTTTGATAGTATCTTGGTCTGTAAGTAACTTCGTCATATCAAGCGGCCTTGTTCATTTTCTTTTAATATTTCACGTACAGTAGGCCGCTGAAGTCTTTTATACATATCTATTCCAACAAAACATTTTTGTCTTTTCAGAGGAGGCTTGTTTTCGTCTGATTCACTAGAAGAGCTAATGCTCACCGTGTCAGAATTATTGTGTTCTTGTTCCTGTATTATTTGCAAAATTATAAACTTAATGTAATAATAAGAAATTTTCACAAGGTGTAAAAAAAGGATTCAAGAACATAGAAAAATAAATTAGTAAATGACAAATAAAAAAAGAGCAAGGATTGATTTTTCAACCTATGTTTACTAAGCACTTTTTATTCGATATAATGAATATTATCTACTCAGTAAGTCTTGAACCCTTTTTTTAAAATATGTATGTGTGTGTGTGTACACATATAACTTTATGAATTACATTTCAATGTGTAACAAAAAATTAATCTGTGTATTTGAATTGATGATATAATAAATAAAATAGTACGATTATTTTATAGAGAGAAATAAATTTTGGTAAAATTGGTGTAATTGGTAAAAAATAGAATTACATCATATGAGATCCAAAAATTCTCCTTCCATTTTATTGTAAAGCGCATCCTCAAACCAATATTTGGTATTAGTTCTTTTATTAAATTGTGTGTTAGACTTTTCATTAAAGTGATGTCAATTGCTTGAGCTGTATATACCAAAAATAATCAGTTGTCACAAACATTTGTTTCATTACAAACTTTACAAAATAAAAACATAATATATTAAAATAATTCACATCTATATACAGTATTGAGAAAAAGGGTTCAAGACTTGTTAGATAGATAATACTCATAATACTGACAATGAATCAGTAAAAACTGCTTAGTAAGCATAAATCGAAAAATCAACCTTTTCAAAGTTAAAAATGTGTTTCGGTTTTGGTAATACATGTTTTTTGTGTGCTTCCATGGCATTCTATTGGATTTCTTTGTGGGGATATATTACAACTTTAATGTATTCTTGATCGATAAATAATGTACAAGAATTACATCAGAGAATCCAAGATGCAGCTGAACTGATTCAAAGATGACCAAGAATTTTTGAAAGAATTCGCAATTCTGTAATACGAAAATGTCAAGCGTGTATAGAAATGGATGGAGGACACTTTTTATAAACATCAAATTAATAATAAAATAATAATATGGTAAGATACTCGTTCATTTACCGCTCATAATCAAATATATACTAAGTTTTGAAGTTTTTTTTTAACACCCTGTATATAAAGTCATAAAAGATATAAAAAGTATAAAAAATATGTTGTAAGATGTAAACGATCATATAAAAAATGTGTAGCATACTAACGAATGAAAGTTATTGTAAAATCTGATTAATTTTATCATCTGCATCTTGCATATTGTTGCATGGATTAGCAAAGTGTATTGTGCATATTTATGTAATAACAAAGGGCTAAAGTTATTTAAATTGAAAAGAAAAAATATTTATGTAATAAGAAAAATAATATGCGAATCAATCAATAACTCTTGTGAATCATTATTATATATAAGTAATCAATAAACGAAAAGAAGTAATGTTATCTCAATGTAATTAAAAATAATCCAATCGATTGTCAATAACAGTATTTTCTATTGAAAAAAATGCGGGTTATTAAAATAAAAACATATGTATATCGTGGTTAATACTGTTAATAAAGTAACTAGACTTAATCCAATTCGAGATGAATATTGTTAATATAACATTTTTTTCCTCTTCAAGGAGGTCTTTTAGTGTAACATGAGAGATTTTTAATTCATTATCATTTTCTTCTTTAAA